TGTTACTGAGGAAATACTACAACTTTGCGCTGTCGATCGCCGGATCGGCTTTCACTGTGGACGAAGCGGAGTCCAGCCCGGGGTCGTCACGTGTGGTTGCCGCAAGCCCTCCGGACGCTCCTTCGTCGAATCCACCGCCTCTGCTCGCTCTAGCCCTCTGGCCGTTCCTCACTTTATCCCCCGGCCTCTGCTCACTGTAGGCCGCCGTGTGTGACGCTGTGTTTCGTTGTGAAAGCAAAACTACTTTGTTTGGCCTTCCAAAAATGGACACGACTAGAAATCAGTGGTTAAGTTGTATTTACAACACTGTTTTGTAATCACTGTTTGTGATTTGTAAAATTCGACGCGTTTCAGAAAGGCGGGGCATAGAGGAGAAACAATAATGTACAGTATGTGGAAAATAATGTGTTTTTTGAACCTTAAACCGCATAAACCCATTTCATTACACCAAATACACAAAATAATGTTCTTTTTAGCAACATCATATGACCCCTTTAAATCATTGACTCAATTGATTAGTTCAAAAACAGATTCATTCAGGAAAGAAACACCACAGTGTTTCTCTGAGACTCACAAGTGTTCCGCTCCAGATTCCCCCTTTTTTTTAAATTACTTTCATTGTCAAAATATTAAAAAAGACAATATTCTGTCTAAAATGTAACTCACTCAATAACGTCTTGTTTGTTGAACACATTTGCAATTCACGCACACATGCTGATATTCAGGAAAATGCATTCTTGCTTGCGTGATTACTTAACTATGTTATATCTAATAAAAGACTTTTTTTTTTTTTTTTTGCAAAGTGAGTGACAATCTACACATTGCACACTGTTAAAACAACAATTATGATATTGTCATATCATTGTGTTATGTCATAGACAATAAATATTGCACACCCCTACTTTTAGTCTTTGTCAAGCCAGCATCAAAGTTATTTTCATCAAATTAAACTTTTCTAGTTTATTTTGTTACTCAATGATCAACATAACAGACAGAGTGAGACCACAGAAACTACAATGATTGAAAGCAATATACAGCGCAGTAAAAAATATCACATACGATTTTAATGCTAACTGAAGATCAGTTTCATTTTTTCTAATATGTACTAGGAAAACTGATCCCAGATCAGTGTTTTACTTTGAGACGCTGTGTTTAAAGGACCGGGTGTCTGATTACTGAAAGTTTCATGTGAAGCTAAACAATTGCAGGTCAAAAGCTATTTCTGGCCCTTTTCACCTAGATAAACCTCAGTATGTTTGTCTGAATATCTGATTGAAGAATAACAGCAAACTCCAAGAAATTTAAACAGAGCGGACAGTTTCACATTTCTCCAGGTTCACCTTTAAGAGACAGATACAGGTGTGTATTTTGACCATGTTAAAACAGTGAACTCCTAAACAGGTGAAAGGATCAGGGTGGTTTTGTTGTACCGGTGTCATACTCCTTCACCCCACAGGGCAAGTGACAAAAACATCTATGAACTCTAGAACAGGTTCTCCACCCAGTTTTCCAGTAATCTGACCTGCAAGCCCCAGAGGAAGCTTGCAAATGCAAGTTCCAATGACCAAGGACCAGTGTAAACTAGTAACTTGATCAGGGACTGATCTGGGACGCTTATTATTTTACTCTGAGAGCGGTTGTGGTCCTAATCGGCACAATCAAATTTACTATGAAACATTGATCTGACGAGCTTGAGTTGGAACATAAAGCAGCCGATCAGGTCTACTCACTACAAGCAATACATTTGGCAGCATATTGATTCGTAAAAAGCAAAATACAATAAGAGCTATTAAATAATGAACTTACGGTCAGCTTTATGTGTTTTGTTGAAGACATTTTTTTCAAAATTCTTCTGCTCTTTCATTGAGGGATAGAGTTCTGGATCATAGTACTGAAATAGCACAGGGATAATTTGTTATAGTACATGACTATGTATGCATAATGCTTAACTCATATTTCCACTTTTTCATGTCTGCACATGTTTGTTTTTTCTTCATAAAATGACTACGTAAAAGACGAGATCCTCCAGAGTGGAGTTGCAAAGTTCATTTCCAACACTGTTCTAACAAACATGCTTGTAATTTTCTTACACTTTTCGAAATACATTCCTTTTTGGAAAATTCCAGATTGTCGGGTGAAAGTGTGCTTAATTAGTGATGAAGCTAAACCCTGCCAGAATTCAGATTTTTTTTTATAGAAGCATGATTTTGCATCTCAATCGATATAAAGTGTTGATTATAAAGTAGCATAAAAGTTCATTTAATAGTTGTTTCTGTTACTCTAAAAAGAAGTCATAGAATTTCAATGAATACAAATTTAAATAAAATAAATACATTTTTTTTTTAAATGTTATTCTTTGAGATGAAGTTCCTTCATTTCTCTTTCTAGATATGTAATTAGATTCTATCTCTGTTCTCTTCCATATATTAGTGAATGGCGAATGTGCCAATAGTTTAACAATTGCATTGTTTTTGAAAATAACCCAAATGTCTAAAGTGCAAGAATATTTTCATCTTCAATGACAAGAACGAATATTCTAGAAGGGTACATTCACCTTTGAAAGAAGTCTATTTCCATCGTTGTCTAAGATGAAGACAGCCTTCACAGTGTAGAGCGAGGGCTCCTGGTTGAAAATAAATCAACGTTATTTTCAAACATTCAACATTACTTTTTTTTCATATCTCAGGTCATAAATACACCCTTGAAATAATACAGTTACATGATACAGACAGGAAAATACTATAAAAAGAGAAAGTCTAGTCAGAAGCAGCTGTTTGGTGGCTCTCAAATGACTGGGGTCCGTCCGGGCCAAAGTTCTGTCATGCACTGACTACCACTGATTCAAAGTCTGAGTGTATCACAGAACTTGAGCCAGGCGAACAGAAGGAGAAAAGTATCATCTGATCATCTTTTCAGATCATCTGGTTGGAATATAAGAGAATCTCGATGTGCACCTTCAGGGTTCCAACAATTAAACTCTGTTATCTATTTCACGGTAACACCTTGCACTGCAAATCCATCTATTAAAAGTGTTACCAATGACCCTTTCACTAATATAAATTGTTATATATAACAATAAAATATGCAGCATATCTTCATCCAAGGTTACTTCCATGAAAGGGTTTCCTTTTGTGTTCCTTAAGATTATGTGTAAACAGTGCAAAGCCTTGTATTTTTACAAGGATAGTAATGCATGAATTTTCTGTAAAACTGTCTACCCTGTTAGCATCACCTTTTTAAATACAAAATATTAAAAATATTTTCCAATATAGGCTATTCAGTATTCAAAAGCATAATGTAATTATATATATATATATAGTCATTCTTCGTCTTATATAGTGTTTAAAATCTTAAAGAAATAAAAAGCTATAAAAAGCACTTCTTTAGTCTAACGCCGCCAAACAGAGGTGCTGCTATTTTTCTACAGCTACAGTATTAATTATTTGCAGTTAGTACTGAGGTTGTCCATATAGGTCAACTCGTAAGAGTATTAAAATGTCCATGGCAAGCAATATCCCTGATCTCCTCCAAGTGTCCACCTGTGGAATCAATCACGCGCTCCGTCCGCTCCGGCAGAGACGCGTCGAGGACGTGGCATCCACGTCCCACTTTGAAAACCCACATCTCCCACGAGTAGACGGAAAAAAACTTTCAGAACAAACTGAACACAAGTGGAAAATGAATATAAACAAACCCGTAGTGCACGAGAACCGAGAACACATTACAAAGGCACTACAATGTATGATCCGTTCATAATCGGAAAAAATAATGTTATTGCTTGCTCTCATACATTTTCGTTCGCTCGCAAAGAGAGACCGGATCGGTTTCTGACAACAACGATTTCGTTTTGGCGAGAAAAAAAAATGCAGGCACGAGCGTTTATAATACCAGACACGACATATTTCCAGTAGTATATATAGTATGTATAGTTTCTTAAGAGAAGGCTTAGAATACTATAAAGAGTAAATAGCTGCTGTCGAAAACATATTTTCTATTGAGTCAAAAACTGCGTACAAGCTACCAAAGCCAGTCGATCTACTATTTCAACGTTTACAACGAGTAAAGGGATTAAAAACAGCGATTAAATGGCACACATATCCTACCAGAGCCGCGGAGTCCATGGTGGTAGCACAGTGTTGACGTGGACAGCTTTGAGCTGTCATTACAGTAGCGCTCCTAAAACCCTCTGACTCACAGGGGGCGTGTCTGCAACTACAGCCCTCGAGCCGCCATGTTGGCTCAAACCCACCATAGCGTTCTGCTTCAGCAGCGCTGCAGTACAGGAGCCACAATGGCGGCTTCCATTGCATGCTCGCTTACGCTCTGCTGCTCACTTGAATGTGTATTGGGAAGTCTTGAGAATTAAATTTTGGGCGTCACATTGTTTGCTCTAATGAGTAACTCGTTTCACAAGCAAGTTTCATTACGCGTGACTGCCACCAACCTCAAGTCTTGTACCAACAGGATCTGCAATGAATAGATAATGAACGGCTGCTGTAAGCAAATGAATTATGTAACGTCACCTCTTACCAGCGCGACAGGGGGCAGCAAAGCTGAAAAGGTTCAGGGATCAGGGGGCGAAGCTTGCTTACACACAGCTTACTGTAAATACACTCATTAAAATGTCACATAATAATAATAATAATAGGCTAATAACAATTCAATTCAATTCAAGTTTATTTGTACAGCGCTTTTCACGATACAAATCGTTGCAAAGCAACTTTACAGCAAATTAAGTTTCTACAATATTTAGTGGTAGCTTATCAGTGACTGTCAGTCAGTGTACATATGGCAGAAATGTACAGAAAAATCAATTTAAGACGTAATCAAACAGACGATGAACACTATTAACAGCAATTATTATATGATGCAATCAAACTTATAGCAAAATGTGGTAGTTCTGTATGTTGTTTCAGGGTTGGCATCATCTGAGGTCCTCTGAGGGGTTGCCATCATCTCTTCTCAGGTGTTCTGGATCCAGACTGAAGCTTGTGTAAATCCTAGTTACGGCAAAAACAGAGAAACAAATAGAGACATAATTAGCTTAGCTGCTGTTCCAACCAAGCAAAATTGATTCGTTTAACCCAAACTAAAGAATAATAATGTGCATTTGATCAGATATAACTGCAGTACAAGATTATGATATGCATTAATAATAATAGGCTAATAATAATAAATAAATAAAATATAAAATAATATTAATGAAATATAAAATTAATAAATAACATCATTTACTCACCCTTAAGTTGTCCCAAACCTGCATGAGTTTCTTTTGAAGAATGTTGATAACCAAACAGTTGACGGTAGCCATTGACTTCCACAGTATGAAAAAAGCTGTGAATGGCTATTAAAGGGATAGTTCACCCAAAATGAAAATTCTGTAATTAATTACTCACCCTCATGTCGTTCCAAACCCGTAAGACCTTCGTTCATCTTCGGAACACAAATTAAGATATTTTTGATGAAATCCGAGAGCTTTCTGATCCTCCATAGACAGCAATGCAACTGACACGTTCAAGGTCCAGAAAGGTAGTAAGGACATCATTAAAATAGTCCATGTGACATCAGTGGTTCAACCTTAATTTTATGAAGCTACGAGAATACTTTTTGTGTGCAAAGAAAACACAAATAACTTTATTCAACAATTTATTCTCTTCTGTGTCAGTCTTCAATGCATGTTCACAAGAGTAAAACATTATTATTTTTTTTTTAGTTTTGTGGTCCAAAGATGAACAAAGGTCTTATGGGTTTGGAACAACATGCGATGACAGAATTTTCATTATTGGGTGAACTATCCCTTTAACATTTTGCTTACTAGCATTCTTCAAAATATATTCTTTTGCTTTGAACAGAAGAAATAAACGTATACAGGTTTGGAACAAGTGGAGGGTGAGTAAATGATGACAGAATTTTCATTTTTGGGTCAACTGTCCCTTTAAATATCACCGCACATTGCATAATTTGCCAATATATGTAGCCTATACGCACGTGTAGATAACAAAATAGTTCAGAGTAGGTATTATTTGATTTCTGTCAGTTATTCCGTGGCACTAGTTTCATGGTCCAAAGATAAACACGAAAGCTCTAGAAAACACATCTGAGGTGTTATTGGAAAAATCTGCAATCTCTTCCAAACACTGACTCCAACCGAAAGAAAAGCGAAAGTCTCACCACGTGACGTCCTGTGAGGAGGAGACCAGTACTTTCCACCGCTTGCTTCTGCCCTATAAATACACTCGCGCACTGTTATAGAGCATGTGAAGTTGTGTGATTCAGAACCAGATCATCCAAGAGGAGTATCCTGCTCTCACGTCTGTCTAGTGACTACGAGACCTCTCGTCCTCAAACAAGGTAATGTTTCATTATAGCATTTATAAATATAAACATCCGATATTGTGAACACAGATATGCGAGCTGTTATGAATCTAATAGCTCTCTATATACTGTGCAAATGAAAAGATTAATCACTTAAAACTGTTCAAGGCAACTGAAGTTGTAGTTTATCAGTGTAACGATGTTTGTGCCGTGCGTTAACTGTAAATGTGTGTAGCATTGCTATTAATCCTGATCGTCACCTGTAGGCTATGAGTTATGAAAGGGGAAAAAAGGCATGTTTTGCAATATTTTATTACTTAAAATGTGTAACATTTCATTTTTTTCCAACTCTAGCTGCCCTGAAACACTAGTGTTTATTTCATGAGAAACGTTTCGGTCACATCTTGGGGTTACTCAGTCGCCTGTTGCCCGGTTATGAGGAAAGAAAGAAAGGGGGTCAACGGGAGTGTCACGCGTTGAATATTGCTGTTTATGATCTTGAGTGTTGTGTTCAAGATAACAGAACATTCTAGAAGTTTCGCGTGTCCACCGTACAATTGTTCATTTTAGGCTATGTTTGAAATTTTGACCGCTGGTCACAGCTGGAACGCTGTATCGACCAGTCAGAAGCCAGCAACTTAACAATGCGTTTAATACGTAGTAATTATTATGCAATGATGTTTCGCGCTTTTACACTTAAGGGTGTATTCACAGCAGGAAAGTCCGCTAGTTCACTTGCTTTGGTCCGGACCAAATACAATTTTCTTTTTTGTTTGGTGCGGTTCGCTTTCGCACTGCCCTTTTTGCAAGTGAACCAGAAATTGTAAACAAAACCACACGTGTGCTAAGGTCATCCATTCATTGGACAGAAATTCTCAAGCAGGGACAACAGGAAGTGCAAAAACAGGCTAATCATGGAGATCTTTTGTAGAGCAATTTTTATTCTTTTACTTATTTGGTGTTATCAGATACTAACGCAATATGAAGAAACTTATGAGCATCATATGAGACAATGTTATACGATGTTGTAGCCTAAGTACGTACAAATGAAATATGCCGTCATTTTTGCTCATACAGGTAAGAATAATACATCGTTCGGAACTGTAAAGGGTCTATTTTTATTTGTGTGCAATCAAAATATTAACAAAACATTGTGCTTTTGTAAAATAAAGAAAACAAATAGGATGCGCTTGCCGTCTCGCTGTAGAACAGGAGCGCTTCACAAAAATGAACCGAAACTTAGTGAATATTTTCCTTACAGACACGATGAATATATCTAGCTATAGAAAGCTTTAAATGACCACAAAACGAAATAATTCAAATCCAAAAAAACTCTTTCATTATGTAATCCGCAAAGATGCATTTCTCTTCGCGTCCATGGTGAGATGGCGAGCAGGATCATCAATTTCATCTTTGCGACACTGACTCAGAAAACACTAGTTAATTAATAAATAATTCAAAAATCTCTTTACTATTTCCCCCCCAACATATTCATGGTAACTTTTGCAGCAAGCTTTAGCCTATTTAGCGCGCTCACGTCACGTTTCTGTGTGCCATGGTCACAAAAACTCATCATTTGCATGCATTTTTTAAGCATTGTGGTTTAAAAACAAGTGATTTAAGCCACTGAAACGCAAACAACAGCACTACATGTGTGAGCTTGCATGTTTCTGAGCGTGATTTCTGCAATTGGGTCGGATCGAGGTCGGGTCATATTCACACCTTAAACCAGGGGTGTCAAACTCCGTTCCTGGAGGGCCAGAGCCCTGCAGAGTTTAGGTTCAACCCTAATTAAACACACCTGATCCAACTAATCAAGTCCTTTAGACTTATTTTAAAACTACATGGTATGTGTGTTGGAGCAGGGTTGGAACAAAACTCTGCAGGGCTCCGGCCCTCCAGGAATTGAGTTTGACACCCCTGCCTTAAACGAACCGTACCAGAGTTCGTTTGGAAGCGGACCGAGACCACCTCTTCAGCTGGGTCTCGGTACGGTTGTTTGGTCCGCTCCCGAGTGCGATTGCTGTATTCAAACCTGCCCAAAAGGTCAGCACCAAGGGGGGAAACGAACTTGAGTTCAATTCAATCGAACCAAACAAGACAGGTGTGAATACACCCTAAGAAACCTGGTGTAGAAAGAATTTTCACTTAGAAAATTGCTAGTAAACTTTACTATTAATTACAAAAAGCAGCAAGTATAGCCTATCACTGAATTAAACATGCAATTTTGAAGTAGACTTAAATATTATTTTCTTACAAAACATAATCCAGTAATATTTGTTTTATTTACTTCGGAAAATATTATAGTGTACAGTAAACAATGTTACTGCTCATTAACCTTTATAACTAAAATATGATTTCCATTTACAATAAACCATTCTAAGTGTTTTATGTCTTTTTTTTTTTTTTTAAATAAAAGCATTATAGGCTAGGCTACATTAACTGGGAATGTGTGAAACTTACATTCTTATATCATTCTTTTCTTCTGTTTCAGGATTTTGTGTGAAATTTTTCTCTCTTTTGTTCTATGAACTAAAAAAAAAAAAAAATCAACTAAAGTTTTCTTCATGGAGAAAATTTTGAAATTCTAAAGCTGGATACACAGACACAAACACGCTCATATTCAATTTGAGACTGACTTGGCTCATTCTTTGCTCTTGGCACTGGTTTGGGCCATGCCGGACCTGAAGAAGTACCTCACAGAGGGCCTGATCCAAGTAGCTATTCTTCTCAGTCTGGCTGGGATGCGTGTGGACGTGGATCCCTACCTGCCCCCTTTTAGCGAAATCATTCTGGGCCCAAATTCAGCTCTAACTCGGACTCAATTCCACAGTCTTCGAAACATCCTGGATGGATATAACCTGCACCCAAAAAGTGCAGATCTGAATGGGTTCTTCACAGCTCACAGGCTTCTAAATTGGATTCGCTCCCTAGACCGCCTGCAGGTGCCAGCGGCGGAGTTGGAAGCCTGGTTGGTCCACAGGGAGCCTGACAATGGAGTCTCCATTCCAGCTCAAGTGGGTCTCCTTGTGGAAGGTGGAGGACTTGAAGATGTGGAGGAACCATCAGAGCTAAGCATGAGGTTGGGAAGTGGAGGAGAACTGGGTTATGACATAGCTGAGGATCAAACCCTTGGAGCTTTGGGGCACATGCCAAGAAGCCTCGACCATCCAGACGATGATGAACCCATTAAAGAGGTAAGCGTGAAGCCAGTGAAAACTTTAAAAAGGTTTGCCTATTTCTGTCAATTACCTGTTTTGTGGTTTGTTACATAGTAGTTCAAGTAAATATTTGAGGAAGGGAATTTGGCGCTAGCAACACCCTCCATGCAAGGATATTTGACTGTCATTGTAGTTTTTCTTTTTAATTATTCTAAAAAGCTATAACAAGAATAAAATAAAATATAATTGTTTGGAGGGTACATTTTTATATACACTACTAATAATAAAATAAAAATAAAATTGTTTGGAGAATATATATTAATATACACTGCCTCTCCATTGTTTGGGGTCAGTAAGACTTATTTTAAAGAAATTAATAATTTTATTGAGCAAGGCACATTAAATTGATCAAAAGTGACAGTAAAGTAAATTTATTTTCAAATAAATGCTGTTCTTTTCATCAAAAAATCTTGAAAAATATGTATCATGACTAATTCAGCTTTGCCATCATAGGAATGAATTACATTTGAAAATATAATCAAATAGAAAACTTTTTTTAATTGTAAAAATACTTCACAATTACTGTTTTTATAGTATTTTTGAATGGTAGTGTAAAAATATTTGCACTTTTTTTGTGCACCACAATTTTTACCTCTAATTAGCGATGCAATGTATTTGTTTTCTACAGAGTGCAGAAATGTGCTTGAACAGGTATAATAAGAAGAAAAACAATTGTTACATCTGACTTTATTGATCTTTGAACTATAGTTATATTTCCTTATGGCACATAATTTCTAGTTAACTTGTACCCTACAAAATAAGAACGTGTTTTCACCTATGAATCTTATTATTATACAACATACTCATCAGTGAGTTGCAAAATTACCTGGAAATAAGTTACTGCACGTACAAAATTACTTTAAAGAAGACTATACACTATACATCATGATATGCATTCATTCAAATATTGTTAATACATAAGCAGCTTAACCATATCAAACAACCTAATTTCACTAATTGTAATTCTATAAACACACACCCAGACAGAACTGGCTGTATACCAGACATGTCTGGTCCGGATATGCAAATGGTTTGTTATTTAGTTGGACAGACACATGTGTCCCTGTCTTTGCCCTGAGGCACAGCTGAGTGTTAAGCAACTTCAAGCATCTGATACTTCAGCTTGGCTGGGGTTCCTCTCCATGCGTTACTTAAGTGTTGCATGTTGTTTTCTGTTCTACTGACCGTGAGAGGTTCATGAGACCCAGAGTATTCTGGGCAATGGGGGTAACACATGATGTATACTAGCATGTTATATAAGTTTCTATATTGTAAACACAACTGGGACTAATGATTTTCGGACTCAAGTATAAGTAGAAACACTCCAAAATACGTAAATAGTTCACCCAAAATTGAACATTTGCTGAAAATGTACTCACCCTCAGGCCATCCAAGTTGTGGATGACTTTGTTTCTTCATCAGAACTGATTTGGGGAAATTGAGCATTGCATCACTTGCTCACCAGTGGATCCTCTGCAGTGAATGGGTGCCGTCAGAATGAGAGTCCAAACAGCTGACAAAAACATCACGATAATCCACTAGTAATCCACACCACTCCAATCCATCAGTTATGTGAAGTGAAAAGCTGTGTTTCTAAGAAACAAATACATTATTAGGCGTTTTAACTTTAAACCATTGCTTCCAGCTAAAATACCAGTCAATAATCTACAATAATGTTTCCTCCCATGGAAAAAGTACATCCTCTGTTGTCCTCTCAACTGCCATATTTGTTTAGAACTGTTTTGGACTTGTTTGTAAATGGTGCTCGAGTTGTGCATATTTCTCTCTTGTTTCAGACGATATGACTTAGTCACTGGGTAAAGTAATATTTTGGATTAAGGACTCAAATTTTAGCCTTTTTGGACTATAGTTTCGCTTCACAAGACATTAATTGATGGACTGGAGGCTTGTGGAATACTTGTGTATTATTGTGATGTTTCCATCAGATGTTTTGACGCTCATTCTGATGGCACCCATTCACTGCAGAGGATTAATGGGTGAGCAAGTGATGTAATGCTAAATTTCTCCAAATCTGTTCTGATAAAGAAACAATCTCATCTATATTTTGGATGGCTTGTGGGTGAGCAAAATAATTTTTTTGGGGGTAAACTATTCCTTTGTTGTGTTAAACTGGTTTGTCAGTATGTGCACACACTGTCCAGCAGACTATTTAGTGTGACTGTGAGCATCTGCCTGGCTGTGCGTCCACATTATTGACATTTGTGAGAAGCATCAAGCCGCTTTCTTTTGCTTTCTATGCACACGCATCAACTCAGTGAGATAGCTAGGGTAATTTCAACTGGATGCTTTTTACTTTTTGTTCCTCCAGTGGGCTTTGTAACAGAATAAGAGGCTGCACAGTTAGTGAGCCTGAATTCCCCTTGAGTAAGGACCCTGTACTTTTGAAACTTTTGTACTTTTTACATAACAGTTGCCATGCGTTTGTCAAGTCCTCACATGTGCAGGCCAGATCAGATTTAACAGGCTTCTACGCACATGATCCACAGGGCTATTTCTGAACGAAGAGCCAGTCTGTTTGTTATTGTGGTATGTAGAAAAGGCTGCAAATTCGGCCCTATGGCACATTTGACCAGTACTGACGGGCAGCATGGTGTTCCTGGATCAGACTGTGGACTTTTTTTTTCTCTAGGGATTATTAGAAGCATGCAGTTCGGAGAAAAAGGATCCTTCCTCACAGACTTGAACATCTCATCTGTTCAGTTCAGAGCTAAATGATTAGTTAACATAAGTTAAATTCAATTTAGCTGAGGGTTGGAACATACAATTTTTTTGTGATCGGATTCTGTTAGGATTAGTTCATTGATGAAAAAGATATTCATTTTGGGATTTTCTAAAGATTACATAGTGTTTTTAAATGATACATGTTTTAAAACATTAATTTAAATGGTTGCGAGATGATGGCAAATTAGAGCTACATCACTGATAAAAATGATTTTGTGGTGAAGTAAATACTACAGAAAAACAAATGTAATTTCTACATTAAATAATTTAGTAATAATAACTTAAATAATAAAGAGTAAATTCAAAATTAGTACTCAATTTAAGCTTGTAAAATTAAAAGTTTGAACTTATAAGTATATTTTACTTGGAATTGTTTGTTATTTTTACAAAGATTGTTTTTTTTTTTTAAAAGATTGCTACAGAAAAACAAATGTAATTTCTACATTAAATAATTTAGTTCTGGCAAGAATGGAAAAAAAAAAGAGTAAATTCAAAATTAGTACTCAATTTAAGCTTGTAAAATTAAAAGTTTGAACTTATAAGTATATTTTACTTGGAATTGTTTGTTATTTTTACAAAGATTGTTTTTTTTTTTTAAAAGATTGCTATAAGTAAATATCAAAGTCATGATCCCGTTGTTCCCATCATGCACTTGGGCATGAATAATTAATGAGGTAAAATATTTAGCTGTTTTCGAGATGAGCTGTCTGCTTGCTTACATACGTGATTGTAAGTGAACCACATGCTTTATTGGCATTTTTTTCAGTACTATGGTGTTTTAGTGCTATAGATTTGACTTAAAGGGTTAGTTCACCCAAAAATTTAAATTAGCCCATAAATTACTCACCCTGAAGTCATCCTAGGTGTATATGACTTTCTTCTTTCAGATGAATCCAGTCGGAGTTATATTAAAAATTGTCTGGCTCCGGGGAAAGGCCTCCTGTAGCAAATCGATGCGTTTTTGTACGAAAAATATCCATATTCAAAACGTAAAACGTACTTGAATCTAGCTTGCGCCAGCAGTTGTACACAGAAGCAGTTCCGGGGGAATGACATATGAGGTCAGCGCTGCGCATGCGCCGGTGCGTCTCGTGAAAACCAACGTTTGTTTACAGGATCAAAAGAAGCAAAGTTTCCTTACTTTAGCAAAGGAAAACCAGTCTCCTCTTGGCTTATATCGAAATCCTCCGACATTCTTCTTTACAAATCCTCGTTTTGTACTTCTAATAAGTGACCGTTGTTTTGTTTCGATCTCTCCGCGTGCGTCACTTCTGAGCCGCGCATGCGCAAAGCTGACCTCATACGTAATTCCCCCGGAACTGCTTCCGTTTAAAACAGTGAGCGCAAGCTAGATTCAAGTGATTATTACGTTTTGAATATGGATATTTTTCTTACAAAAACGCATCGATTCGCTACAGGAGGCCTTTGTTCACCCCCCGAGACGTGTGAGACACTTTTTTTTGTGGAAGGGTGCTTTTTATATCACGTCTTTTGAACCGAAGGAATGCAACACCCGCTGAGTGCAACGATAGAGCTTGAAAGATCAAAGACAATTTTTAATATAACTC